AATACATGGATTAATAGAAATGGGTTAAATATTAAGACAGAGTTAGCCAATAAGAAATGCTAGTAACAGGCCAACATTTCATAATATATCGTCTGCGTGTTTATTCAGGGCTGAAGCCGTGGTGGGGCCTGGTGGGCCAGAAACCCTCACCTTACTCCTGCAGTCAGGCTTGAAGGGTGTTCCAAAGCCTTGAAGTAGAGGAGCACTCAGCACTCGGCTTTGGCCAGATGGAGGACTCTCGGGACTTAGGTGAGGAGCTGCAAGCTCTGGGAACCCACTGTTCTATGAATGGTGCACTTAAGCTAATTCATTCATGTCATACTTTTGAAGAGAATTTTCAAAGTTTTGAGATCAATATCGTGTGTGTGTGTGTGTGTGTGTGTAACCCCAAAACAACGTAGCTCACCAGAGTTGAAAAGGGTGGTTCTCACAGGATCATGTGATAAAATGGGGACTGTGCTGGGGCACACTGTAAAGGCACTGCAGAATTTTCCGTAAAGCTGGGTACTTGGAAAACAGTCACAGAAACACACATACCCTGTCAACAGAAGGATGTTTCGGCCATCTTAGTCTAAGTAACAACAGACCTGAATCTGAGATGTGGCTGCTCCTGACCTCAAGGCTAAGAAGTTGGAGCTGAGGTGTGGCTACTGAACCCTTAGAATAAGAGAGGAAGAAAAGTCTGTTCCCTATACATGATACTGTGTTCCACATTTTGGTTAAGGTAAATAAGAATGGCAAAAAATAAACTCGTGGCATTTCAGTATTGACTGATCTGCCCTCCTGACCTTTATTCTGTCTCTGTCTTTATCGTCTATAGCCAGCCTTTCCCTCCCCCACTCAGGTACGGACTTGGGACTGCTTGGCTGGCTCTGATCGCAGCCCCGCAAAGACCGCTCCCAACAGGAATCCTCACGTCAACATCATCAGGTCCCCTCAGCCTCATCCAAGGACGTGCAGGTGACATTTAGGGTTCCAGCAGCAGTCACCATTGACAGCTGCAGAGACCCGGCACTCCTGCATTACCAAGTCTCTGGTGTCACGGTGCAAATGATGACATGTTTAACGGGCATGTCCTGCTCACAGTTGTGACTGACAAGCGGTGCCCGTCTCATTCGTGACCCAGGTAGATGCCCCTCAGCTTTGACCTGACACTGGCCACTACAGGTTTCCTCGGGTTACAGGGAGACAGTGACGGCTTTCTAAAGTTTCTAAAGCATTTAAGTGCTCCTAGCCTTTTTTAACTGAGGACAAACTTAGCTGAGATCTCACAAGCGATTTACCTTTGTGTGTGTTGTACATAGGATTCCCCACTCTCAAAAGAAAAGCCTAGGGGACATTTTTTTTTTCAAGCAAAAATATTTACGAAAACAAAACAAAACCAGACCACCCAAATAAAAACCCCACCCCATAAAATGAGGAAGGACCAATCAGGCCTTGTAACTTAAAAGGCCCAGCTTTGTTTAGTGTAATAAGACATCTCTGTATTGTTTTTATACTTGGACTTTATTCCCAGTTAGCCCATAGTTTAGCTAGAGTTAGAATCTTAAATTCTGCATTTAATGCTTGCACAACCCACTTAAAAATTAGGAATGCTGCCCTTGTGTTCCCATTAAAACACACAAATCAACACAAACCACACATTGTAAGGATAGTGAGCCAGATGGAAAAGTTAATGTGCTATAATGACATTCGTTTTGCAACATCAAAAGCAGCAGAAATACTGAATATAATTTGATTAAATCATAAATACTGAGATTGAATATGCACATAGAAATTACATTTAGGCTTCCTGAGCTGAAAGCTCTCTAAAAGCAGATAAAGTGTGAACCAGCAGGGTCAGCCCCTGGCCCTTCAGTACTCCCACTCATCAGACTTCAGATCAAGGTAGCTGAGGATGTTCTGGGCCAGCTTCACAGCCTGCTTCCTGGCAGCCTTACACTCCTCTTCCCCCTGGGGGTCCACAGCATCCAGGGCCAGCAACTGTTTGGTCAGCAGCTCCTCCAGACGGATGTAGTTCTTATCACTTCGGTTCCCACCAAAGGAGAGAACTTCACCCTGGATCTCTGACAGGTTCCCAAGGACACCCCACACAGCCTTGTGTGGGGGGTTCTCCTCACAAGGGTGCAGCTTCCTCTTCTCCAGGGCCTCCTTCAGGTCCAGGTATGTGATCAGGGTCTGCACCTCAATCACGGCCCTTCTCCTGGCTTCCCGGATGCAAGGGTTTTTCTCAACGCTCACTTCATCCAGCTGGCCGATCAAACCCTGTAGTTCTGTCTGCAAGCTCAGGTACAATTCAGGAGGGCTCTGTGCCTGGAGAAGTTCACTTTTTATCTCTCTCATCCTCTTGAGGACCTTTTCTATCTTTAGAATGGAATGGTTCTGTCCCAGGTCAAATGCATGCGCACTGTCAGCTTCCTCTTCTAAATCTAGGTACTTCAGTAGTTTGTTGATATCCTCCACCACCTCCCTCCGGTAATTCCTGATCTCCGTGCGACCACACACATCTAAAGCATCTAGATCAGCGATCAACCCTGACAGCACGCAGGATAAGTGCCTGCAAGTCTCAGTGCTGTCCACGCCCATCAGAAGTGCGATCACAGTGCCTCTGGCCTTGTTCACGTCACACATCACAGAATTGATCTTGGCAACAGAAGGGTGCACGTCCTCAGAGAGTGGCAGGGAAGGCTGTTTCTTCACGCAGTCTTCAATAATCTCTTGCACTGCACAGATCTTGGTTAAGGTGTGGTACCTTGCTTTCCGCAAAGAGATCTTGCCTCCGGTCTTCACGTGTGTGAGCCTCAGAATGATATCCTGGATGCCCTCCTCAAACTCGTCAGTCACACAGTTGCCCCCACTGTAAAAGGGTACAATCTTTTCTCGCACAAGGGCCTGTGCTTCCTTGAAGATGTTCTGGATTTCAATCCGGTGCGGGTGGTTTGCATTCTGCTCCAGCTCTTTGAGAAGGCGCTCTGTCTCCTGCGCTGCTCTCTTCCTCGCTTGCTGAATGTCCCCTTTTCCTTCTGTGTCTACAGAGTCTATTTCAAAAAGTTGTTTCGTCAGGATCCTCTCCAGTTTCTTGTAATTCTTGTCATCGGATAGGCCACTGAAGCCAACCACTTGCGGCTCTATGCTCTTTACTTCTCTTTGGATCTCCTGAAGCCTACTAATAGAAGGGTGTTGGTTTCCCATATCCATACTTCTGTGTTCAGTTTCACAAGCACTGAAAGATGGCAAGAGTAACTTATTACAGTCTCTGCAGGATAATTACATCAACCCATTCTAAACTCACTTTCCAAAGGTATCCTTTTTAAAAGGACTAACTGGGCTATGGAGATAGTTGTCAGTCAAATAAGTGCCCCAGTTGGAGCTCCAGAACATAAGTAAAGAAAGCCAGGGAAGGGGCTGGAGAGAGAGGGGTCGGTGGTTATGAGTGCTGGATGCTCTTCCAGAGGACATGGGTTCAATTCCCGTACCCACATGGCCTCTCTTGGTCAACTGTAACTCCCGTTCCAGGTAACCTGACTGCTTTTTTTGACCTCTACAGGCACCAGGCACACACACATACATGCAGGCCAAACAGGGATGCACATAAAATATAAAAGCCAGGCAAGATGATGCTCACTTACACTCCCAGTGCCAGGGAGGCAGAGAGGATGGATCTCTGTGGTTCACCTGCCAGCTAGCCTACCCTGATTGAGGAGCTTCACTAATGAGAAGCCCCGCCTGAAAAATTAAGGAGGAAGGACACCACAGAAATGGTGTGTGTGTGTGTGTGTGTGTGTGTGCGCGCGCTGAACTCTGGCACTCAGCATGCGCCAAAACACACAGATCAAAGGTTTTGTCATCTTACAGACTTAAAAGGCATACTTGAGGAAAGAGATGTGATATGTCAACTCCCTCTCCTGAAAGCAGTTCAACAGGAACAAAACAAACCGAGCAGGGTGTGCTGGGCTGGTGTGTGCCTACATGCCTAGCACCAGGGAGGCAGAGGGAAGAGAAACAGAGTTCAAGACCCGCCTGGGCCACTCGGTGAGACCATGGCAGGGACTCTAAGGACAGACACAAGTCTGTTCATTGGGGGTGGACGTCTGGGCATGTGAATTCTGTCTTCGACTGTGAAAGTGAGCCGCAAACACTTTCATAGCTGCCAAGCCATCAGCATCGACACCATTTCATCATCCTAAACTACTTTCTGGAACTGTCAGGGCAGGAAGTACCCTTGCGGAAGTTAGCAGTAGCTCTTCCAAACCCACAGGGCCCAATCTGCCAGAGGGGAAGTAAGCAACTTCCAAGTCTTCAACCTCGACTTGCAATTGCTCCCCCGCGCAAAACAACTGCGATTAAGAGCTCGGTCACTCGCCTCCCCGTGAGCGCGCTTAGAGCATTCCCCAGGCTCTCAGGGGTCTGTCAAACAGCCCACTCCCGGCGGGCAGAACCGTCAGTCCCTGGGGAGGGTCCGGGCCCGCCTCGCAGCGCTTTACCCGGAGAGGCGAGGGTGGCGGCGGTCTTGGCGGCCGCGGAGGGCGGCGAGGTGGGAGATCGGCCCGTCACGGGGAGCGGCACCGGAGCGGGGCCCCCAGCGGCATCCCCCTCGCCCTTCCCGGCTAGGTCTGACCCGGGCGGCCGGTGAAGGGGCCGGCGGAGGCGGCGGCAGCTACTGGCCGCGGCGGCCGCTCCCGGGGGTCTCGGCCGGGCCCGACGCGCCGCCGCCTGACCTCACAATGGGCGCGGGGCGGGCGCGGGGTGCGCGGCGGGGGCGGCCGCGCCCGAGCCGGGAAGAACGGAGCTCGCGCCCCCGCGCTGCGCTCACCTGGGCCGCACGCGCCATCGCGCTCCTCCGCCTGCGCCTCCGCAGCGTTGTCACGGCCCTCGCACGGCCGGCCGCGCGGCTCCCAGCCCGGGGAAAGCCTCGGCCCGCCGCCGCCGCCGCCGCCGCCGCCGCCCAGGGAAAGTGCACGGTCGGCCTCGCCGCGCGACGCTGCCGTAAAGCCGACCTTTCCACTGTCGCGATCCTGCCGTGCGTCGCGCAGTCCGCTGCGCCCGGGCCATGGCGGCTCTGCGGCCCGGAAGCAAAGCGCTTCGCCCGCCCCTCGGCCGTTCCTTCTCCGGCGGCGTTGGTCGCCTGGCCCGGGGACGCGGTTCCGAGCGCAGGGATGCTGCGTGCAGCCCGGTAAGCGGGACGTCCGGGGGCGCTGCAGGCAGGCAGGGCGGGAGGAGGGAGGAGGGAGGAGGGAGGAGGGAGGGAGGGAGGGAGGGAGGCAGGCGCCGAGCATCCCCCGCCGTCGACCCCGCCGTGGAGAGTGCGAACCGAGCTTTTCCCCGGGTTAATCCCCGTTAGTATCTACTCCGCTCCTGAAGAGTGCATTTTCTCATTGTTAAGAAGACTGGTGTTCGTCAGTGTGCACGTAACGTCAGACATCCGGTGTTTGCAACAAGAAAGGGAAGAAGCAGTTTTTGTTTTTGTTTTTAATCAGGTGCACTTCTTTGGGAGCGGATGTTTAGTTTAAGGGAGGCCTAGGGCTTGAGTCTGTCAGTCACATGAAAATGTTGACTAAGGATTCAGATAAAACATTAAACAGGGTACGTGGCTACTAACACTTCATTTGCCATCAGGCTAATGATAGAGACTGGCGAGATTTGTTTAAGCAATAATTAAGAGAGGAAAAGGAGAAAAAAAAAAGGGAGATAATTAAGAACTGCAAAATGTGCCTGCTGTGTGAGTTTTCATTTCTGTTATGCTGTGTCTCTTAGCATACTTCTATTATAACTGCAGCTTTGAAGTTCTGTCTAGTCTACAGTTAAGATTTGTTGCCTGGGCTCCTGGCCTCTGGCTCGGTTCCCTGGCACAAAAAAACAAACAAGCCTTCACTTCTGTCTCTAGAAAACAGAATTTTAGTCCTTGGGCAGAAAAAGCAAAACAGGTGTCTAAACATGTTTTGGGAGGGAAAAATTAACTCAGCCAAGAGCTTCCTTAGCGTGAGAGTTTTCCCTAACAATCAACCATTTACGTGTGTAAACTGGAAGGAGTGTGTGTGTGTGTGTGTGTGTGTGTGTGTGTGTGTGTGAGAGAGAGAGAGAGAGAGAGAGAGAGAGAGAGAGATTTGCTGTGGAGTTGAGAGGATTTGGAGTTCTGGAGGCCCCTCACTCCTTCCAACTTGGAGCTAGGGCAACCAAGTGAGACCATGTCTCAAACAAAACAAAAGAAAAAGTAAATCTTACCCAGGGTCTGGGTCCTCAGGGTAGCCCTTCAGCCTTTTGCAGTCCAAGTGGCAAGCCTGTGCCACTCACCCTTTGGAAGACAGCAGTGGGGGATGGTTGTGACTAAGGGAGCTGGCTACAAGCCAGGACTTTAGAAATTCTACGCTGACCACATTAGGATCTAAGTGTTCAATTATGATAAATATTAGGTGGCAGAAAAAGAAAACAGTTTTGTCTAAGGGCAATTTATGTGTTACTACTTGTTTCCTGAGCTATTAAATGATTGTAAGATACATTGTTGCCTTGCAAAGATCCTTTTGTAAGTAGTAAGTCTAAAAAGTAACATTAAAGCTGGGCATGTTGGCGTGCCTTTAATTCCAGCATCAGGGAGGCAGAGGCAGGATCTCTTGAGTTTGAGGCCAGCCGGGTCTATAGAGCAAGGTCTACACAAAGAAACCCTATCTTGAAAAATCAAAAACAGGGCTGGAAAGATGGCTCAGAGACTAAGAGCACTATCCATCTGCTCTTCCGGAGGCCCTGAGGTCACACCCATCTGTAATGAGACCTGGTGCCCTCTTCTGGCCTTCAGGCGTACATGCCGGCAGAACACTGTGAACATAATAAATAACTAAACCTTTAACCCCTCCCTCCCAAAAAAAATCTAAGTGGGCATTGGTGGTGCATGCGGTTAATCCCAGCTATTGGGAGGCAGAGGCAGAGGTTCCGTCCATTATCATCATGGTGGGACCTGGCGGCTTGCAGGCAGACGAGACACGGTGCTTCAGAGGTAGCTGAGAGTCCCACATCTTGTGCAGGCAACAGGAAGTGGACTCAGATACTGGGTGTGACTTGGACATTATATGTATGTGTGTGGTATTGCCTGCCACTCCCTATGAGATTATGGGCAACAATTAAATTCAAACTACCTGAGCCCCATGCTGGTGCTGTGAATTGAGCTAGGGTCTTCTGGAAGAGCAGCTAAGTACTCTTCATCACCAAGCCACCTCTCCAGCTCAAGGGTAACAGTTAGTGAGATACAGGACTTTTTTTGGGGGGGGGAGGGTGAGGTTTCAAGACCGGGTTTCTCTGTAGCTTTGGAGTCTGTCCTGGAACTGAATCTGTCCAGCAGGCCTGACTCACACAGATCCACCTGCCTCTGCCTCCTGAGTGCTGGGATGAAAGGTGTGCACCACCAACACCCATCGACATTTCATCATTTACAAATTGAAAAATTTTTTTGTATACTGGACAGGCCTTTTGTCCACTACTGGATGATGGGAGATGTCATTCTGTAAATATGTTTCTCTTATTGGTTAATGAATAAAGCACTGTTGGCCAATAGGAAAGGAAGATAGGCAGGACTAGGAGACTAGGAGGAGAGAGGAAGAGGAGGGAGGACATTAAAGATGGAGGACAGAGAGAGAACGCCAGTCCCTCTCTCCAGTAAGATGAGACCACGTGGACATACTTAGATTAATAGAAATGGGTTAATAATTAAGACAGAGCTAGCAGATAAGAAACTAGTAACTGGCCAACAGCATTATATCAAATACAGAGTCTCTGTGTGTTATTTGGGGCTGGCGCAGCAGAGTGACAAGACCAGCAGGCGGGAAAACCTACTCATCACAACTGGAACCATGGCCTCCTGACATGATATGCCAATACTGCTGTGGCATTCCTCAAAAATGTTAGTCAGACAAGCATACTGGTTCGTGCACATAATCTTATCACTGGGGAAGCTAAAGTGGGAGGTACAGTTCAAAGCTAGCCTCAGCTACATAGGATTCTGAGGCTATATGAAATCCTTCTCAAGAATAAAAGATCACTTTTAACTTCATAAAATGTTGCTGGTGAGTGGTGCACACGCCTTTAATCCCAGCACTCTAGAGGCAGAGGCCAACCTGGTCTACAGGGCCAGTGCCAGAGCAGCTGGGACTACACAGAACCCTGGCTCAAAAGGAAAAGAGCAGGAGCCTTTCCTATTCTGGGGGTTGTTGTGGTTTAAACTTTTCTGCAACTAGGAGCACATTCCAGACCTTTGGACCTGACTTTCCAAAGGTCATTTTGAAATTTTTTAGAGGTAGCAATTGCAACTTGAAATGCTGCACAGGGACACAGACAGGACCCTTGATGAAGCCACCTCTGTAGTTCTGTAAACCATGCCCTGTGATATGTTGCTGAAACATCAGGGGAGTTGTGTGTCTATAATGGCTGTCATTTCCTGTGTGGGTCCTTAACACACACACACACACACACACACACACACACACACACACACACACGCACGGGTGACTGTGCAGGCAGGGCTTTATATGGTAATTCACCCTTCTCAGTGTTTGGAGGTGGCCATGAAGGAAAACAGGCTGACACCCCCCACACCCCCCAGTGTGGATTCCTGAAAACCTTACTGTAGCGTCCACTTACCCCTAGAGAATGCATAAGGAATTTACTAAGTCTGTAGCTTGAGACTGGCCCCTTGGAGCTTACCTTCAGGGTACTGTAAACTTTTTGTGTGTGGATTTGTTTTTTTTTTTTTTTTGTTTTGTTTTTTTTTTTTTTGTTTTTGAGGCAGGGTTTCTCTGTGTAACAGCCCTAGCTGTCCTGGAACTAGCTCTGTAGACCACGGTGGCCTTGAACTCAAAGAGATCCAGTTGCCTCTTCCTCCTGAGTGCTGGGATCAAAGGCATGCGCCACCAATGCCCGGCTAGTACTGTAAACTTTTAAGAGGAATTGGGAGTTGGAAAAAGCCACTGATAAGATCCTTAGGCAGTGTGCTGGCTACAGTCAAGTGACAGGAAGGAACCTCAATTAAGAAAATGCCTCCATAAGATCAGGCTGTAGGCAAGTTTGTAAGCATTTCCTTAATTAGTGATTGATGGGGGAGGACCCAGCCCATTGTAGGAGGGGCCATTCCTGGGCAGGTGGTCCTGGGTTCTATAAGAAAGCAGACTGAGCAAACCATGGGGAGGAAGCCAGTAAGCAGCTCCCTCTGTGGCCTCTGCATCAGCTCCTGCCTCCAGGTTCCTGGTTTCTGCCCTCACTGTTGATAATTGTTACAAGAGGTTTTCCCACCAACCTGGTCCCAGAGCCTGGTCAGCCCCAAATAACACACAGAGAAGCTGAATTAGATATAATGCTGTTGGCTTGTTACTAGTGTTTCTTATGGACTAGCTCTGTCTTAAATATTAACCCATTTCTATTAATCTAAGTGTTTCCATGTGGTCTTATCTTACTGGAGAGAGGATCCGGACCTCTTCTCTCTACATCTTGAATCTCCTCTCCTACATCTGCCAGAAGCCTCCTTGTCTCTTAGTCCCACCTATCTTGCTTTCCTACTGGCCAACAATGTTTTATTTATTAACCAGTAAGAGAAACATATTTATAGACTGACATCTCCCATCATACAATGAACTGTTATACAGAACTGTCAGGAAATTAAATCCGGGTTGATTTTGTCCATGGTGTTTTATCACAGCGATGGTAACCCTAAGAAGACACACAGCACCACAATGCCCACCTTGGAAGTAGACTTTGGGCTTGAGATGGTAGGAAAGACAAAGATGATAAAGCCAAAGCCGTCGGCATGGAGGACTGGAGAGAGGAGACTCCCGTATGGTCCTAATGTATGTTTTCCCTTGCAGACGACATTCAAGAAAGCAGGAGATTCTGTGACTGTTGCCTTTTCTAATATTAAAGTTTTGTGTACCTGCTGGGATGGTCTTTGTGTTGGCTGAATTTTGTTTGCTGGTTTATGTAGCACCTGTCTTCATGCAGTAGGGAGCTGGGGATCCTAACCCAGGGAAGGCTTTGAGCTCTAAAGAGACTTGCCTCTGGCAAGTGTGCAACTCCCCGTGGTCCATCTCCCACTGTGACTTTGGGAGCTGGGGAACGGTAGGACTGGCTGGCTGGCTGCCTGCCTGCCTCTTGAAAATGTAGGATTCTTGTCTGATTCCCTGCAGGGTACATGGCTCACAAGGAGCCTCCCTTCCTACGCACAGCCCTCTTGTCCACGTTTCCAGGCATTATGTTCTTACACTATAAGAACTTAAATTACAGTAATTATTCACTCTACAAAGGGAGGCTTTTTTTCTTTTACAAAAGGGTTTATTCCCTCCCCCAAGCCTTTCTTTCCTAATAGCATCTGCTTGGTGAACAAAGACACAAAGTATTTTTCATGTAGCAAAAGCAAAGGAATTAACCCATCATAGTCAAAGATAAATATCTCTGGAATTGTTATGCAAAGCAGGGTGACTGGTTCTTACACAGGTTCATCTGTGGGAGCAGGTGGTCTGACACAAGGAGACCCATCTGAAGAAATCCCTGCTCTGCTGGCCACCCCTGGGCTCGTGTGCTGTGCTGTGCATGGCAGTTAGGAAAAGGGTGCTTTCTGGGGCCACCCCATATTCGTTTCTTCAGGCAGTGTGTCATTGTATACCCTCAGCTGGCCTGGAAATAGCTATGTCGATTGTGCTGGCCTGGAGTTCTTGCCTCCATCACCTGAGTACTAGGATTAAAGGTGCACACGGGGTGGCTCTTTCGACATTTTCCTGATGCAGATGAAGTCTGTAAGAAGAAGAGAATGTGTTTCTACCCAGTGAAAATGCTCCTTGTAGGGGTTTGAAGCTGTAAGCAGGAAGTGCAAGATGTGACCAGGTAGTTGCTTTAGGGCGCGTGGGCTTTAGGGCATGGACTGCGCTGGGCTCCTTCAGCAGCAATGGTTGTGTAGCCCTTCACCAGTCCCGTGCATTTGCTGTCTGCTCTGGCCAAGCTTAGCTTTCCATTGCTCCCACCAGCACTGACCCGCCTGCCTCTGCGTCTTCCCCCTCCTGAGAAGTTGGCGCTCAGGACCCCAGGCCTGTCTACTTGCCTGCGATCCCAGTTTTTGGGCTTTTGTGGGCAGACCTTCAGAAACTCCAGAGCTAGCCCCTGGGGTCCCAAGAACCTGAGATGTGAAGAACACGCTCCGCTTCTGGCTCACTTAGGGCTCTGAACATGTCTCACCTCATCCACAATTGCCAGGTGTGGCGGGGTGGTCGATGTAAGTCAGCCTGGCTTGAGCCCAGGGCTCAGTGGTGCAGAAGCCTGCAGAAGCTTGAGAATGGGTGTGACTGCCCTTCTGTAATCCCGGCGTGTGGGAAGCACACACAGTCCCTGGAGTAAGCCGGCTAGCTAAAGATCCTGCTTCAGTATACAAGGTGAATAGCAACAAGGTATGACCTCTGGCTTCCGCAGGCACAGTGCACACATGTATCCACATGTACACATACCACACACACCAACTTGTGAAGAAGGGGGAAAATAAGCCTTTGGAATGCTAGAGAGATGGCTCAGTTGGTCAGGTGTGTGCCACACATGCAGGAAGACTTAGGTTTGATCGTCAGCACCCATGTGAAAGAAAACCCAGTGTGCCTGTAACTCTGCTGGTGGTAGGGCGTGGGACAGGCAGATCCATGAGCTTGTTGGCTGGCCAGCCAGCTTAGCCCATTTGATGAGTTTCAGGGTTAGTGAGAAGCCCTGTTTCAAATAATAGAGATGTAGAAAGTGATCAAGGATGACCTGACGTAGACTTCTGACTGCTGCTTAGAGTTTCTGCCCATGTTGATGCCACCTCGTTCAGAATCGCCGTCTGTGATGGAGTGGTCTATATGTTACCCTGGATGGGGGCGATGATGGCCCAGGGGCATAGGCATGATGCTCACACCTCCAGCTGTGCACGGCCACCGTAGCAAGCACACACGTGCACACAGGTAAGCCATTGAGGGCTGGGACTCTGGCTCAGTGGAAGAGTGTGTACCTTGAATGCGTAGGGTCCAGAGTTTGATACCAGCACCATAAAAATAAATAATAAAGAAAATATTTGATATGTTTAGCAAGGTAGCTCAATAGTTGAGAGCACCAGCTGTTCTTACCGAGGACCCAGGTTCAATTCTCAGCACCTACATAGTAGCTCACAACCCTCTATAACTCCATTTCCAGAGGTTCTGACACCCTTCTGATCTCCACAGGTACTGGGCATATATGCTGGTAAGACACTATACGCATAAATAAACTTAAAAAATTAAGACACTTTTATTTTGGATTAGGTGGTGTGTGTGTGCTGGTGTGGCGTACATACAACAGTGCACGTACCCACAGAGGCCGGAGGTGTCAGATCCCTCCGAAGTACGAGGAACTGAACTTGGTTTGTGTAGGAGCACCTTGGTTAACCACTGGGCCATTTCCAGCCTCGCTGCGGCGTTTTCAAAGAGAGCATTTAGGAGAGGTCGCTTTGGCTATGGGCAGAGGTGCAGAGTGACGGTGGGGGCCGTGCCAGACTGGTGCCGTGGGGATGGTGCTTCCTTGGAGGGATGAGTAGGCTTTGCCTCACTTCCCATGGGCTGGGATCACAGACGCATGCACTACGCCCAGTTCCCACATGATTCTTTTTTTTCTTATTAAAAATATGTAGCACAGCACTGGCAAGAGGTCTGGTTTCAGTCTTCACAATCACAAAAATGAGCAAGTAAACACACAGGGAAAGCTTCAGAGGGCTGGAGTGTGGCTCCTTGTGGCAGAGTGCTTGCCCAGCATGTGTAAAGCACTGCTAACTGAGCTGTGAAAGCGAGCCAGGCACTGGGCTGGGGAGATGGCTCAGTGGTTTAGAGCACTCACTGCTCTTTCAGAGGACAAGGGTTCAATTCCCAGCACCACATGGCAACTCACAACTCTCTGGAACTCCAGTTCCAGGGGATCCAACACCGTTACACAGATAAACAGGCAGGCAAAACAACAGTACCCATAAATTAAGAATAAATAAAGGATGATTGATAGTATGATAAATATAAATTAGACCTAACAACAAGCATATAGTTAAAATACATATTTTTATAAAATAGCCTGAAGAATTTCTTTTTTATGTTTTATGTGTATATAAATGGTTGGAGCCTCTGGCTCCCCCCTACACAGTTTGGGAAGTTCCGTCTCTCTCTTCCCCTTCCCCTCTCTCCCCAAACCTCACCCACTCAGAGAGTCTCTGAACAAAGATACCAAAAGCCTATTTCTGTATTCTTGGTGGCTATCACAGCTTCCTGAAGTTGCCAGCTGCCCATGTCCCCATCTCAGCTCAGCTTTTGACCACACTTGGCACAAACCCAGCTGTGGTGGACGTGTTATCACCCCTTGCCTACAACCTATAAAATCTCCCTACCTTAGTTCAGGTGCTTGACTTCTCTGGCCTCAATCTCTGGGATTGGAGAGCCTACCCAGGTTGCTTTGCTCAATGTACCTGTTATACTTATTCAGTTTGGCTTGATCTTGCTTACTACATGGGTGAAGAAACGTTTTTGGTTGGGGTGGTGGTGGCAGAAAACCTATTAGTGAATAAATAGATGTGATTGATATGTGTGCATGTCTGCCGAGGCCTGAAGAGGGTATCTGGCTCCCTTGGAGCTGGAGTTACAGATGATGAGCCACAAAATGAAATTGCTGGCTCATCTGAAAAGAGCAGCAAGTACTTTTAATCACTGAGCCGTCTCTAGCTGCCACTTAGTTTTTTGACAGGGTCTCCTTATAAAGCCCCGAATAATCTGGAACTCACTATGAAGATCAGATTCACATTTCTACCTGCTTCTGCCTCCCGAGTGCTTAAGGGGTGTGTGTCCCACACCCAGCCTTAAAAATTTTCTTTTCATTATCTGTTTTTATTGTTTGTTTTTTTGTTTTTGTTTTGGAGACAGGGTTTCTCTGTGTAGCTCTGGCTGTCCTGGAATTCACTCTGTAGACCAGGCTGGCCTAGAACTCAGAAATCTGCCTACCTCTGCCTCCTGAATACTGAGATTAAAGGTGTGTGCCACCATCACCTAGCCTCACACGCATGCAAATTTTTTTTTTTTTTTTAAGATGTCCTGGGTATAGAACCATGAGTCTTGGGAGTGGTAGGCATACATTGTTACCACTGAACTACATGTAGTCTTGGTCCTTTTATTTACACTTGTAATTTTGAGATAAGGTTTACTAAATTTTCTATGCTGGCTTCAAACTATGATCCCGCTTCTGCTTTCTAGCTGGAGGTACAGGCCTGCCCACTAGGCCTGGCTTCCTTCTCCGTCAGGGTGTAGAACTGTTTCAGTATCATTTGGTGAACAGTGTAATGATATTAAGTCAGGTGTGTTAGTGTCTGCCAGTCATACCAGCACTTGAGAGGCTGAGGCCATAATTAGATCCTGTCTGACCAAACCAAAAAGGAAAACCAAACAAAATTAGGAAAATGATTGGATACATTGTCTTTCACAGAATAAGCTGATGTGGGCCTTGAATAAATACAGGTTGTTAATTTTTCTAATATCAGGGTTGGGTTTAGTTGCCATGTTAATCCCATGCATTTCATTGAAGGTCTCAAGATTCTGCCCTCCAAGACAATCTTGCCATGATTGGATAGGACCCCCAGATAAATACTCAAACCTTCGCCCAGTTCATTTTCATATCCCTGAAAATGAGTCCCCCTTGGAACAAAGGCTTAGAGAATTGAGACAAGAAACACAAGAATGGAATCAGCAGTTCTGGGCCAACCAGAATTTGGCTTTTAATAAGGTAAGTGTGGGGTTCCCGATTCCGATTGGTGAAGGACAGTTACTCAGCCACTTGGGGGCACTAAATCTTCAGCATTTTCATTGTTGCTGGTCTGTTTGGGGTTTGTGTGAATGTTTAGAATCGGTTGTCTTTCCTTAATAGTGTTCTTAGCAGCCTGGTGTTGTGGTGCATTCCTTTAATCCCAGAATTTGGGAGTCAAGGGCAAGAGGGTCTCTAGTTCAAGACCAGCCTGGTCTTCATAGCCTGAGATCCATAGTGAGACCCTGTCTCAAAATAAATAAAAGTCTTTAGGAGATCAAAAGATTGTTTTTAAACCATTGTGCAACTGCATGGAAGACACCTTGGCCGTCATAAGTCACAGAGCTTGAGATTTTCTGGGAAGAGAAGTAACAAGAGACCAGGACTAGTTCCTGTCCTGAATGGTGCTCCTGTTTATCAGAAGTCACTGTTCTAGGTTGTCACTTGCCAGAGTTCAAGATTCCTGTTTATGAGAAGTCGCTGTCATAGGTTGTCACTTACGAGAGTTCAAGATTCTTTTGTTTTTCTTTTAATGTTTTGAGACAGCGTTTCTCTTTGTAGCCCTGGCTGTCCTGGAACTCACTTTGTAGACCAGGCTGGCCTTGAACTCACAGCGATCCACCTGCCTCTGCCTCCTGAGTTGCTGGGACTAAAGGCGTGCACGACCTGCCTGCCACCAGCTGTGACTCTTGTTCCAGGGACATGGCGCCCTCTTGGCCTCCTCAGACACTGTGCATGCATGCTGTACACAGACACACATCACACATGCAGACACTCATAAATGTTAAAATAAATCTTTTAAAAGGCAGGCTTTGAGGTGTGATATTTCTCAGGAAATCTACAAATTTCTCAGCTTCTCAGCATTGTGTTCTAGCTGAGAGAAGTAGGAAGCTAGAGAAGACCATTCTTTCTCTCCTTTGGTTTTTGGTACTGTGGATTAAACCTAGGACTTTGCACTAGGCAGGTGCTCTACTAGTGAGCTACAATTCCAGCCCATTTTAGTTTTACCTTGAGATGGAGTCATGTTAAGTTGCCCGTGGTGCTTCAGCCTCCTGGGTTACACGCATGTTCAGCCTCCTGGGTTACACGCATGTTCAGCCTCCTGGGTTACATGCATGTTCAGCCTCCTGGGTTACACGCATGTTCAGCCTCCTGGGTTACACGCATGCATATACCACCACTCCTGCTAATTTTGGTTTTTCAAGACAGGGTCTCATGTAGGCATAATGGGCTCAATCTTGTAGCTGAGAATGAACTTGACTTCCCGATCCCCCTGTCTCCACCCCCCCCCCAATTCACCTGGCTAAGAGAGTTTTGATGGTCATCTTTCAGGAAAAAGAAGAATTCATTCACTCAAGACTGCAAGCTAAAGGCTTGGGCCTGCGAACAGCGTCAGGTTAGTAAGTTTGTGCTGTGTTAATGTCTGAAGAAGGGGAATAAACAGCTTTTCTGGGCCTCCTCCCATCATAATAGGTTTCTCTGCCAATGCAGTAAGCTAGATCAAGCTGAACTGGAAAAGTGTACCAGCAGGTTTATTTGGTTGAGCAAAGCAACTCCCGGGTAGATTCTCCAGTCCCAGCGATGCAGTCCGGAGAAGTCATACGCCTGAACTAAAGTCGGGAGATTATATAGGTTGTAGGCCACAGTCTGGGTATGGCCAAAAGCTGACTTCTTTAGGTGGCAACTTGGGCAGCTGGCTACTTTAGGGAAGGAAGATTTTGGTGCCTTCCCTTTGTTGGGAGATTCTCTGAGTGTGTGGGGTTTGGAGAGAGACAGGAATGGGGCTTCCCTGATCATGCAGGGGTGAGCTTGAGGTTCTACCCAAACGGGGAGGTGGAGGCAGGCACCCAGATGGTGGTACCAGGTCAGGTCACGCTGTGGTATTACCGTAGACATTGGCGTTCTTCTAACAGGAAAGTCCTTTTGACCCCTGTGTACTTGACGATCTCAGTGACTCTGCCTTCAGTACCATGTATACTTACTTTGACAATGAAGAAAGACAGACTGTCTGTGGAGAGGGACGGTACAGAGTCACCACTCTGGCAGTAGTTAGTCATGTGGAGAACATACAGTTTCAGTTGGGTGGGAACAACGTGGTTAATGAGGTATTTGTGGAAACTGCTGAGCATGGACGTTGAGTTCCTCACCACAGTGACAGCCCTGGGGAGATTCCTGTCAGCTAGCTAAACACAGCCGCTTCATAACGTAGACATACATAAAAACATGTTCTGTCTCGGTTAAGCAGAGTGACATGTCGGGAGGACCCATTGCTGAGAGAACACACCTGTGCTGAGCTGAGCAGGGCTCTTTGGACACTCCGGGCACTGGAGGCAGCGGAGGTTTGTCTGGGGAGTTATATCGGAAAAACAAGTTGCTTTTGATGTAAAAGAAAAAAATTTAGATTTATTCCTCTTAGAATACACATTTCAAATAATTTTTTTAAAAAAAAGTATTGGGTATCAGTACTGATAGATTTCAGAGTTAAAGACATTATTTCCAGTGGTAGAAGGTCAAGCTGAGCCAGATGATGGTGGCGCACGCCTTTGATCCCAGCACTTGGGAGACAGAAGCAGGCAAATCTCTGAGTTCAAGGCCAGCCTGGTTTACAAGGTCAGGACATCCATGGTTACACAGAGAAACCCTGTTTTAAAAAACAAACAATAGTAACAACTAAATTGTGGGGTTGGAGAGATGGCTCAGTGGTTAAGAGCACTGGCTGATCTTTCAGAGGACCTGGATTCAATTCCAAGTACCTACATGACAGCTCACAACCATTTGTAACTCCAGTTCCAGGGTTTCTGATGCCCTCACACAGACATACATGCAGGCAAAACACTGGGGAACATAAAAAATAAATTGTCTATTAAAAAAAGACCAGTTTTGTAAATGGCTGGACCTAGGTCCCACAGTCTCCCTTGAAAGCACGCATAGTGAACCCAGGGGCCTCCTGTTCGTCTCCACATCCTAAAGATAATGCCACCTGCCTCTTAGGACACAGGAAGCATTCTAGACCCAAACGGCGGCAGCACGGGGCAGACAGCATCTGAACAGCTGGGCTCGTGGGGGAGCTTCCAGCAGGCACTGGCTGAGCAGGCTCAGTGGGGAGCAGGGGCCTCGACGTGGGCGTCACTCCTGCATTGTCCTTCCCTTCTCTTGCCTGGTGTACTCTGGCCCTCTGCCTCCCTGTTTATTCCTTTGTCCAGTGATGCCAACCCCCAGGCTAGCTTCCAGCCATGCTGGGCCTTGGGTCAGCAGACAGAGGTGGGGTTGTGTTGAATGAGCCTGGCTGCTGCCATGGGAACCGGGGATGGGGATGGAGGAGGCCCAGAGGGGTGGCCAGACAAAGAGGTCAGTGTCCAGGAAACACACTGTTCACCATGAACGGGAGATGGCGATGTTTATAGTCAAGATGACATGGGCCATTGGGACTTTTAAACAGACTGCAACGATTTGCCTTAATGAGAACACCTATGCAGAAGTGACAGCATGAAAGCTGCCTATGTATCAAGCCGTGTAACTCGGGCAGCTTTCTGAGTCCATAGGGAAGTTTTCCCGTAGTTCTGTTGGAGTTCCTTTGGTGGCTGATGGCAGCTTGAAGTCCCTAGCCCTTTTCTAGAAGGATCTAGCTGCACTCATTATGACATGTAAAGAAGAAAGCAAGCAGTAGCTATGTGAACCATCTGTAAGAAGTTCTCATGGAGCAAACAGTGAGTTCCTTAGAGGCTTTCTTTAATTGCAGATTACAGACTAGGTAGAGCTGCTGGCCACCTGCTGGCTGGATGTTCTGCAAGTTCTACTGTGTGGGAAATCCACTGGCTGACTTCAGGTGCAGGAAGCAGACAGCCCTTTCTTTGAGTGCACAAGCGTTTGTGCATCTAGAAAAGAGGGAGCCATGGAGACACATCCACTTTGTCAGATGGCATTGTGAGACACCCACGCATTCTCAGCAACGATGCAATGAATTGAGTTTTCCCTCTCCATCCCTGTATTATGGCTCTCTTCCTCCTCCCTTCTTGCTCCCCGGCCCTCTCTTCACCCTCTTTTCTGCTCCAGTTTGCTTTGTTTACTAACAAGAAGAGGTAGAGCAAGAACGGCTTGGCAGGCATTGACAGGTTCTTGCTGTGCCCGAGGTGTTGGGGTGGGGTGACCTAGGCCTGCCTGAGAGCCCCTTGGGAAAGCCTCAGGGTGGGCAGCTCTGCCTGTCCCCATCCTGAGTTCACCCCTCCCCTCTACCCTGAGTGCAGCAACAAGAAGGCCACCTAGAGTCCCCTCTCAGCTCTAACTCCTGCCGGGGCTCAGAGATGCTCGTGTAAGGCTGGGCAGTGGTGAGGACTCCCTCGAGACAAGGAAGTACTTGAAGGGAGCACACAGCCACAGGGGAGAGCCTGTCCCTTGCGCTGCTGTTGGCAGGGAACAGCTTTTCTGTTTGGACAGCCCCTATGAAGGGCCCAGAGATGCTGCTGGAGGAGTGGGCACTCCCTTCTCTAAGGATCGGCAACTCTGCATGGGGGCTTTGTCCCAGTGCCCTCCAGGCTGCTTTTGCCTGAGCCTGTCCCTTGAGACCAGCTGACATCACCTTCCCTTGAACCTTCGGCCTCCCTTACCTCTCGAGTGGCAGGTACCCCCCCCCACTTGATTTGAGTAGTGTCCTTCTTCACAGGCAGGCCACTGGCCAAGGGGTGGGGTGGGTGGGGCAGAGCTTTGTTCCTGTCCGTGGGAGCTGACGAGCCAAGAGTAGGGTCAACATGCAAGTGGCTTCAGAGCTCCTACACTTTGTGTGTGGAGCCTTGGAGAAAACCAGCAGGGACGTAGGGAGGAGAGTGGGCACCTGTCGGGTGTGTGTGTGTGTGTCTGTGTGTGTGTGAGTGTGTGTCTGTGTGTGTGTGTCTGTGTGTGTGTGAGTGTGTCTGTGTGTGTGTGAGTGTGTGTCTGTGTGTGTGAGTGTGTGAGTGTGTGACTGTGTGTGTGTGTGAGAGTGTGTGTCTGTGTGTGTGTGTGAGTGTGTGTCTGTGTGTGTGAGTGTGTCTGTCTGTGTGTGAGTGTGTGTGAGTGTGTCTGTCTGTGTGAGTGTGAGTGTGTGTGAGTGTGTGACTGTGTGTGTCTGTGTGTAGGGTGTTCTCAGAAGATCTTTAGGTGGTGGGGACAGCAGGAAGGCTGATCCAGAAACAAGCACAGAGCGTGTCTGGCAGTAGAGGTGGGGTTACTGCAGGAGGCATGGACATCACACCTCCCGAAGCCTTTGCCAGATGCTTCCAGGCAGTTCATGACGGTTTTTGTTTTGTTTTTCTGGTTTTTCAAGACAGTTTCTAGTTCATAGACCAGGTTGGCCCAGAACTTAAAGAGATCTGCCTGCCTCTGCATCCTGAGGGTAATTAAAGGTGTGGGCCACCACAGCTGGGCTGCATTGTGTTCTGTTCTGTCTTGTTTTGATCCAGAATGACTTGGTTTTAGGGTTCTCCTGCCTCCATCCTGGCTTTGGGCACTCTGCCAGCTGAGCCACACCCCAGTCTTGCTTTTCCTTTTCCTTTTTAACACTGAAAAACAAAGCACCAGCAGCAGAAACCGGGTTGGAGAAATGACTCAGCAATTAAGAGCACTGGCTGCTCTCATGGGCCTGGATTCTGTTCCCAGCACCCACATAGCGACTTAAAACCAGCTGTGACTACTTCCCGGGGCCCAAGACAGCTTCTTGTGGTTTCTGTGGGCACCAGGCATGAAGCGATGCACAGATGTTCAGTGCCCGCAGAACACATAAAGTAAACAGAAAGGACATGCTCAAGAACTCTCTTCCAGTAGAGGACTCAGTTTGGTTTCCAGCTCCTGTGTCAAGGGCTTCACTGTGACTGTGACTGTAGTCCAGGGCTGCACCCTGCTGGCCTGTGCAGGTGCTCTGCTACCCACTGTGCACAGACCCACAGATAGACACACACATATACACACAATTAAGTAAATAGAATCTTTGAAGCCTTTTACTTTGTGTGTGTGTGTGGGGGGGTGCTCATGCAGGTGGAGGTCAGAGGACTATTAACAGGCCGTTTTCTCCTTTTATCTTCTGGGTCCCAGGGATTCAACTCTGGTCTTCAGACTTGGCAGCAAGTGTCTTTATCCATTTAGCCGTGTCACAGGCCCCTGGTGTTTGTAGTTTGAGACAGGATCTCCTATACCAAGGCTGGCCTCTAACTTCTGACCTTCTGACTTCTTCCGGTGGTCTGGGGTTATAAATATGCACCATCACAGGCAGCTTCTCCTAGAGTCTTATGTTGTAATTTACTTCCAGGTCAAAGAACAACACTGGATGCAGAGGAAATGGCTGACTTTTATAAGGAGTTTCTGAGTAGGAATTTTCAGAAGCACATGTGTTATAACCGGTAAGTGTTTGCATCTCCCTGAAAGTTGAGCTACACATCCACATTTGCTTATTTTCTTACCTTAGTTTTCAAAAGTGTGGTCTTCACTTTTTCCATTTTAGCTAAACTTGTCAGCCTTCCTGTTTGCACAGCACCGAGGGTGCTCCCGGCCCTTAGGTCAGCAAGTGTCATTCCTTGGAGGCATGGGGTTAGTCAGGACATTGCCTGCTTGGAAATAAGGTCAGCAGAGACCAAAGACCACAGGAGAGCCATACAGGGGCCAGCAGGGGCCAGCAAGAGTATGCAGCCTAAGGCAGAGTCAGACAACCTCCCCCAAAAAGTCCGTGCAGAGAACAAAGTGTCAGTGCACACGCGTGTCTGCAAGTACTCACAGAAGCTCACGGATCTCTTCTGGCTATGTAAGGCTACATGTGCATGGGGAGGGGCGCTGAAGACATTTGAGACAATAGCCAGATAATGTCAACTCAGCCCAAAATACTGGGAGTTCCACAGAGTCCTGAGATGTCTGCACAGGGCATCGAAAGACCGGAGGGGGGGGTTGTCCATGAGTTAGCTGACCACCCTGTCAAATTAGTGACTTTTCCCGTTTGTTTGTTTACTTATTTATTTAATTTGAGGCACGGTCTTGTATATAGGCCTGATTGGCCTGAAACTTGCTATGTGGACCAGGCCTCTGCCCTGGCAGTGATAGAATTGCAGCCAGATATCGCCATGTTTGACTCTTTTGTTACTGTTATTGTTTGTTTGGTTGATTTTATGTTTTGAGAAAGGGTCTTGCTCACTGTATAGACCATGCTGGCCTCGAACTCACAGTTTGCCTGGCTCCAGCTCCCAAGGGCCGAGATTAAAGGTACAGGCTGTGAATTGAAGCTTCTATCTCTTCTACCCAGTCCCTCAGCCTCTTGTAAAATAATCACTCAGAAGCTTAATGTTCATTATAATTGCGTGGCCAATGGCTCAGGCCTATTACTAACTAGCTTTACAAATAAATTAACCCATTTTTAACTCACCTGTATATCACCACATAGCCGTGACTTACTGGTAATTCTCTGGCATGTCACTCCTTTGGTAGCTACATGGCGTCTTCCTGACTCTGCCTTCTTTGCCTTCTTTTTCTCTGTAACTCTGGATTTCCCACCCAGCTATATTCTGCTTGGCCATTGGCCAAATCAGGTTTATTTATCAACCAATAAAAGCAACACATATTCACAGCATGCAGACGGACATCCCACATCAGTGGGCCACCATGCTCGGCCTGGTAAATCTGGTGTTTAAATAATCATCTTAGCCTTTTGTTGTATCTGGTGAAAGTTAAGATGCAACTTGAGCCTTGTTTTAAAATATAGCAATGACAGAACTGGGCGTGGCCAGAGTGGCTGGACCTCAGCGAACATGGTGACAGTGAAGGCTGATGGCCATCAGTGTCCCGGTCTGTTAGTCTCTCAGCCCCCCACGGGCTGCCCCCCCCGGTGCCCCCCACGGGCTGCCCCCCCCGGTGCCCCCCCCGGTGCCCCCCACGGGCTGCCCCCCCCCCCGGTGCCCCCCCCGGTGCCCCCCACGGGCTGCCCCCCACGGGCTGCCCCCACGGGCTGCCCCCCCACGGGCTGCCCCCCCCCGTGCCCCCCCCGGTGCCCCCCCCGGTGCCCCCCACGGGCTGCCCCCCCGGTGCCCCCCCGGTGCCCCCCACGGGCTGCCCCCCACGGGCTGCCCCCCCCGGTGCCCCCCACGGGCTGCCCCCCACGGGCTCCGTGTGTACAGCTGCTCTCAGGAGGCTTTTCACCTAGCTGGCCGGGTCAGGCCGTCTACCTCATGAGAGTGTGGCTGTCCTTGGCCTGAGGCCTGGTGGCGCGCCCTCTCGCTCTCCCGGGCTTTTCCTCTTACTCGGGGCACTGCTTGTCAGCGGGCACTGCCTCAGCTGTGAGTGGTAAAGTTCTCATGTAGGTGGAGCTTGGGGACTTACAGGGTGGGACCTGTGCTGTCGCTCCCAGGGCTCGGGCTCCTCTCTTTCCTTCTGTATTGAGATCCGAGAACTCAGTGGACCCAGCCCCAGCAGAAGTGGTTCAGTAGCTCGGGGGCTGGCGACGACTGGGGTCAGTGGCTTTGGGGCTCCAGAGGCTTGCACCAGGGCTAAGATGTCCACCCAGCTCTCCAGACTTCACCTCCAGTGAATGACATCCGTTGAATGACTCATAGGCAGCATTTTCCTTGTGCAGGTTCCACCAGGCTTTGTATGAGGGTACAGACCTGTCGCCCAGGAAAAGGGATTTAGGGCTTCTGCCCAGTCACCCTCCTAGTGGGCACCACAGTGTCTGCGTATAAATTAGACCAAGTCAGGACACCCATCCCATCCCAAGGAAGCCTGCCAGGCTGTGTTCATGGTTACTGATCTCTCCACGGTGTCTATCTAGACTGCTGCTGGATTCAGAGAGGATCTTATGAATCTTTAGTAAAGGTCAGAGGAAGATTAGAGCCCTCCACACAGGGAGACCTGGCTGTAGATGTGTATGGCCGGCTGGGCCAGTGGCGGTAGGGAGTCAGGAGACACATGTCCAGGGGAGCCGCGGTTTGGTCAGACCTTATCCCTGCCTGACTGGGTGCCTCTCTTTCTCTGTAGAGACTGGTACAAGCGTAATTTTGCCATCACGTTCTTCATGGGGAAAGTGGCCCTGGAGAGGGTGTGGAGCAAGCTGAGTCGGAAACAAAAGAAGACAAGCAGTTAGGAGCCCAGCTGGGCCTGACCCGCCGGCCTGCCAGCACCCAGCTTCCATCTATGAGGGCCGTGGAGGCTGAAGTGAGCCCGTGTTCGGGCCTTTCCTGGCTGCTTCCCAGCTGGTTTGTTCTCACGGATACACTGTATGCTTATTGCCTGTGACTTGAATTATACCAATCCAGAATACAGCCATGTCAAAATATAAATAAAGTTTCACTGAAACAATTAGACCAGTGCAAGCTGGGAGTGGCCCTCAGCTGGCTGGGGTGCTGGTGGGAGTCTGGGATCCAAGCCCTGATGCGTCATCTCCATGTGACAGACTGGTGGTCACAGAGTGACGTCATCATTTCAAGTGAGCTGAGCCCTCAGCTTCCAAAGACACTGCAAGGCAGCCACCACCAATCACCCTGGTTAGAGAGGGCCGGTGTGGTGAGCGTGGCCTGATGGGGTGTCTCCCACAGGCTCAGATGCTGAACTTGGTTCCCAGCTGGTGCGCTATGGTAGGACCTGTTAGAGGTAGCAGGTCAGGACATACTCCAGGGGCCAGGAGGAGCCCAGCCCTTCTTTCTCTCTGCTCCTTGGCTGCCACGAGGGAAGCAGCCTCCTGTGTCTCTTGCTTCTTGACACGAGGTGGCACTTGACTAGCAGCCCGAAAGCATTGCGGCCAAGGGACCTGGACACCTTTCTCTTTCTGCTTCTGGTGTCTCTGGAAGTTTGTCAGCAGCAAGAAGCTAATGTCACCTTTGTGCTGCTACTGATGGCCTTTCCAAACCCTGCAGACCCCACGTCACCAGTCTCTGATCATTTGTCACACAGTTGTCACCCTGAGACAGGGACATTGCCATTGTTGAACAGATGGGCTCGCCCCTCAGTTGGTGGCTCAGTGACTCATCCAAGCATGTACATTGTATGAGGGTGGCGAGCTTCAGCCAGGGCGGAAGCATTAGAACTGGAGACCTTTGGAAACAGACTCTCTCGGTCCCTGCAGCTGAGGGCCAGGGACCCTGACCAAGTATCACAGCGGCCGCTCCCTCGGGAAGCTGCTGGCCTGGTGCAGATGGCGGCACTGTCGGGCTCTCCTCTGCTGGCAGTAACTACAAGCGCAGGACTCAGCAACAGACGGCAGGGGCCCAAGACTGATCGCCTCAGCCCCTCAGGTCGAAGCCAAAGCTACCGGCTCCTCTTTATAGCTATTACTGTGTGTGAGTGTGTGTGGTGTGTCTGTGTGATGAGTGTGAGTGTGTGAATGTGATGAGTGTGTAAGTGTGAATATATATGTAGTATTGTGAGTGTGTGTGAATGTGATAAGTGTGAGTGTGAATGTATGTGTGTGCTGTGGGGGTGGGTGTGTGAATATGATAAATGTGTATGAATGTGTGTTTAGGTGTGTGTGTGTGTGTGTGTGTGTGAATGTGTGTGTGTGAGTGTGTGTGTGAGTGTGTGTGTGTGAGTGTGTGTGAATGTGTGTGTGTGGGGGGGTGGGTGAATATGATAAATGTGTATGAATGTGTTCAGGTGTGTGTGTGAATGTGTGTGTGTGTGAATGTGTGTGTGTGTGAATGTGTGTGTGTGTGTTTAGGTGTGAATGTGTGTGTGTATGTGTGTGAATGTGTGTGAGTGTGTGTGTGTGTGAATGTGTGTGTGTGTGTGTGTGTGTGTGTTAAGCCAAAGGACAGCTTTCAGGAGTTGCTGTCTTCTTCACCACGTTGGTCCCACACACTGAGCTCAAGCTAGCAGATTGTGGTGAGAACCTTTAGCAGCTGAGGAGCCATCGCACTGGACCAAGGGCTGTTGCTGTCTTTGAAGAGTGGTTTCACATGAGCCAGGCAGGAAGTCTAAGCTAATCTGTTGCCAAGGCTGGCAGATGGCCTCTCTCCTCTAGGTTGGACCTTTTGGTGATGCTAGGCACTAAGCTTAGTAACTGCCCGTTTCACAGAGGACCAAGGCTGCTGGGAAGGCATTGCTCAGGGCCTTGCTCTTAGAATCTGAGCTCTAAGTGAGCAGATCCTGGACCCCGGCTGCAGGCACTATTTTGGGAAGTTCTGGAAACTTTGGGACGGGGCAGGAAGTCGGTCACTTAGGGCGGATCCTTGGAGGAGTCTTGTGTCTGACAGTCACTCTGGTCTGTCTCCGTTTGCTTCCGGTCACCATGGGGCACACTCCCCTGCAGTGCCATATCCTCCCCCACGTGTGAACCCTCTGAAAGCCTGAGCCAGAATAAATCTTTTCTCACCAAAGTTGTTTGTCTAGGGTGTTCTCACAGTTACATAAGAGGAGGAATATAGGAGCAGAGCAGAAGCAAACAGTGCTCCTCTTCAGACCGAGGCCTGGCTGGCTTTGTCAGCAGAGAGGCAGCCCCAGGCACTGGATGGACAGGAGCTGTGCCAAGGCACACATTAGTCTCCTCGTCTGCCGCTGGGGGCGTCTGGTCCCCTGAGATTGTCCTGTTGTGGGTCATGTGACAATGAATGCTCCAGGATTAACAGGAGAGATAGTTCCAGCAGCGGAAAGACTCCCATGAGGTTTGTCTCAGAAGCCTATCTACCGGCCTGTGCTTATTCATACCCAATAGTTCAACCTGACCCTGGTAAATGCACTGAGTAGTGTGATAAGAAATGCTACACTTTTAGCCAGGCAGTGGTGGCGCATGCTTTAGTCCTAGAACTCAGGCAGAGGCAGGCGGGTCTCTGTGAGTTCGAGACCATCCCGGTCTACAGAGTTTTTGTTGTTGCACACCTGCCCGCCCTCTCCTCCCTCCCCACCCCCACCCCCAACTTTCATGGCTCTGTCTCCCATCCTGCTGTAGGAGCGGTGATTCACAGGTACATACCACTGCATCCAGTGGCAAACGGCACCGCCTGCCAGGTCGTCTCCCCAGACTGGAGCAGTAATCTTTTGACACAGTCTTTCTGCATAGCTCTGGAGCGCTTCCAGCTTAATATGTAGCCCAGACTGCCCTTCGCCTTACTCCTCCAGTCACCTGTCTCCAGAATGCTTGGGTTGTAGGCATGTGCCACCAGCCTGTGGCTGGCTTACATAAGTCCTAACAGGAAATCTGGTCATAGGCCTTTACTTAACACTGGTGCTGTGCAGGAAGCCTGGTTCTGCCTCTAGGCCTCAGAGCCTTTGGCTACAACAGTACACAGGTTGCAGAACCTTGTGTGGCCTCAGAGCGGCTCTAGTTTCAGTGTCTGAAATGGCCCAGGCTCTTCCAGAAGCTTCTGTGACTAACAGTGATGTCTTCCAAAGGGACATCTCTGCAGGCTGGAAGATCTGAGGCTGGAGGAGCTATGTGGAGTGACAGGTCTCTGGCATGACTTCCAGGGACACTCCCAGTCCCATGACCGGATGCGGGGAAGGTTTGCACCCAGACTTTTCACGTTGTTCTGGATCTTAACCCTTAGTCTTCCCACAGCCCTGAAAGCCCAGGCCTGTGTGAGGTGGTTAGGGTTTGAAAGGCTGACGCTTCCAGCCCGGAGGAGAGCAGACAGCCCCCGTCTGCTACTCTTGATGGTTCCAGTAGACATCTTAGGCTTCTTGTTAACGGGGAAGTCATGTGGGAAGTGGCGCGGCCAAGTGTTGAGTTTGCTGGTGTATTTTGCTACCGGTTTGCTTTTTAACACAGGAATATAAAAGCACGCCACCTTGTGACAGTTTGTAAGTCACACTGTGACACACTCTGCTTAGGAAGCAGCAGTACAAGGCATGACCACCGAGGACAGCTCTCATGGAGCTGGTTAGTTTCCCAAAACAGGGCAATCAGCCTGCCCCTGCCAGTTTCCCAGTAATGCCTGTTAACTTTTTATTTTAAAAACATTTTTAACTCTTTGGGAATTTCATACACTGTATCGATTATGTTCACCCTCCCTACTGCTCCTCCCCCTTCCCCCCCAACTTGGAATTGTCTCCTTATTTTCCTTCCCAAGTTTCCATTGTCCAGCAGCTCCTGGGAGTGGGACCCAGCAGGGAGTCACATCACTAAAGAGAGCTGACCCTCTCCCGGCAGCCATCAAATGCCAAGAGCTCCTCAGCTGGGGTGCGGCTCTGCACTCCCCTCCTCCATGCTGGAATCTGTAGGAGATTTGCGCTTACACTGGTGTTGTGCATGCGTCCTCAGTCACCGTGCGTTCATATGTATCCAGAACATGCCATTTCCTGTAAGTCACCCATCACCTGTAAGATTTGTTTAGACAGGGTTTCTCTGTGTAGCCCTGGCTGGCTGTCCTGGAACTCACTGTGTAGACCAGGCTGGTCTCGAACTCTCAGATCCGCAGGCTAGTCTCGAACTCTCAGATCTGCCTGCCTCTGCCTCCCGAGTGCTGCTCCACATCTGGTCCCTCTGACAGTTACAGTCTCTCTCTTCCTCAACAATTCCTGAGACTCAGGGGAAGGGTATGGTATCTACTGCCCCATTTAGGGCGGAGAACTAGTGTTAATTGCCATCTGATGCAAAAAGAAGCTTCTCTGATAAGGGTCGAGAGATGCGCTGATCAGTGGATATAGCAATCAGTACTTAGGCGTCATTTTTATTCTACGTATACGGACCAGAATAGTGTCGTCTGGATCCCATCTCGTGGAGCAGGCCTTAAATCCAGTCATAGCGTTGGTGCCGTCATTATACCCCTGGGTACATCTTGTCAGGCCAGTCCTTACAGGGCTCACAGGGTTCACAGCTGAGAGAGATAATGGATTCCCTTTCTCCAGCACTGTGGACTGAAGTTTCCAGGTGAGAACCTTGATTTCTCTGTGTTCTGCAGCTCGGGTATGAAGTGTCTCTAGCAATAGGGTCTTACCATCGAGTTCATGGAGGGCAACCAAGAGTATTGGCAGTAGCTGGTAATTCTTCAAGCTCCATGGGATCCCATTGGCCAACAACAGCTCACAAAGAGGTAACTGTTCCTGGTACTGGGCTTTTATTTGTTAGGATATATGTGTGTGTGTGTGTGTGTGTGTGTGTGTGTGTGTGTATGTATATATGTGTGTGTGTATATATATATATATATATATATATATATATATATATATTATCTGATTGGGGTATTGTTCTCTGTTGTAG